TGCAGGGCCACAAACCGAGAAACTGCGGTTTGGCAGGTGGCCTTCGTGGCCAAGCGAGGCTGGAATTCTTGGAGTCGGCTTTCGGGAAGAAATTCCCGTCGTCAAGGGGTTAAATTAATGCAATTGAACTGGCAAAACAACAATAACAACAACAGAATGTTTTCTGCCTCTATCTGTGTGCAGTGAAACGGCCATGGGAAGAGATCATGGAAACTCATGTCATCAGTTTTGCTCGTATTAAATTTCAAGTTTAACCCAGTTTCCAAGAGACCAAGAGAGTGTTACGATTGTGAATATTTATGAATCAGTTTCACTATTAAAATATTTCAATTGATAGTCATACTTTGTCAGCGTTTGTCAGACGTTGGATTAGAGAAACACGAGCCCCTTCTTGTCCAAAACCACTGTCATTTGCCAACCTGGCAAAACTTCAGGGGATTCAATACTGAAGTAATTGGACAAGTAATCCCTGAGATGTTACTGTGGGTCACTGTACCTCTCTGCTTGGCTTTGACGAAGTTCTCCCATGTCTTGAACCAGGCCAGGCTGATGCAGCAGATGACAGAATCCGGGGAATCATCCTGGGAGAAGGCTTCGTTAAGCTGTTTGAACGGAATCAGAAATGTTGAATCTAACAAGGTGCAGGCAGTAGATAAATGAAAAAGTGGGAAGCAGTGCGCTCTGGTGTAGCAATCAAGTCAGATAAAAATACTTGGGTATATGTGGGTGATTTTGGACTGCTTGCAGTGATTATCATGTAACTGTTGTGTCTTTAAGTAAGGCACTAAACCACAATTGTTTCACACTATGAAACAGTTGTCAGAATACCTTTGAAGGATTAGATCATTCCATAAACATCAATGCCCTTATTGTAAACTGCAGGCTGAGATTTGCTTTTAAGCCTGATGGTCAGGGGTAGCCAGTTTGACAGGATGCTTCCAAGAATGACTGCTGACATGCTAAATAACTGCTTTTTCCTTCTTACCCTGATGAACGTTTCCATTTCCTCCTTTCGTCTTCTCTCGATCAGCTCGGCCTCAGCTTGGCAAGTGGAACACCCGTACAGGTGGTTCACTGCTGGACCGCCACCATACCTTGATTCAAACAAATCAGTCAAATGAGCAACCACTCCAGTGGACAAATCACTTCAATCGAACAAATTCATCACTGATGGTAATCATTTCAATCAATAACCAAATACTCAGTATTAATCATCAATCAAATCATTCTACAGATGAGAAACCACTCAACTCTACCCAATCGATCTACTCCAGTCCAAGAAACAAGTAATCAGTCAACTAATCATACTGATAGAGATGATCCAATGATCCGACTGACCTCTGATGGAGGTGTTCCCACACTGGCTGGGGCACCTTCAGCACAAGCTGGTCCACATAAGAAGCCTTGCTGGGCGGCACACCTGAAGAGAAGGAAACAACATTCAACTTTAGAGGGTTTGCGGTGGCACCATGTGACTACCTCATGTGGGAAGATGTGTGGTTGTGAAAGAACCGGTTGAGTGGAAACAACATTTCACGTAATGAAAACTTTACTTAATGCACAGCATAGCTTGCGTTCAGCTGTAGAGTGGGTTTCACAGCTGTGCCTCAGGGGGCAAAGCCTGGAGAATGGGAGTTTAAACTTCATCTTCATACTGTCTTCTGTGGCAGACTTTAAGTAAGAAGATGGTCGGTCTATCAAGGCAGGCACTTGACTTTGATGAAAAGGCAGGGTCGGTGTCGTTAATAACCGGCATGGACAACAACCCATGAAGTCTCAGACGTTGTGAGGACATAGTCCTCAGTCAGTGAGGTCAGGTCTGACATGAGGCTGGGTCAGCAGCAGTCTCTAGAATGGGTAACAAGCCCATCGACCCAAGTGAAAGAGAGCGCATTTTTTTTCCCCTGCACAGAGTATTTCTGCACTGTGCATTTCGTCAGATTTTACTTGACAGCTGTTGCGTACCTCCATGCTTGCACAAGAAGTCATTGTTGGAGATGGGGCCGGGCTCAACAAAGCTGTTGAACTTGTTGAGCCACTGAAGCGACACATAGAAGTGCAGAAAGCTCGGCTGCATAACAAAGACGGATTCAATTTGGAAAAAAAATATTGAGCTAAATCACTTCCCAAACTTTGCAAACAATGCTGATGTCTTGTAAATCAACCCGATCTTTCAGTTTATGTGAGTAATCTACGCAACTGACACCTACCTCATGTTGGTCACACAAGTCGGACACTTTTTGTCTCTCTTTAACCGCATCTTCTGACACCTTCCTAAATCAAGACAAAAATGTCAGCAAAACTTTTAGCCCGTGAAGATCCGCCTATTAAAAAACACACTCCTGAGGTGAGAAGATTCCGAATCTTTGAGGGTGAGAGGATCACCGAAAGGAAAAGTACGTCAAACAGTTCAAAACTCTGACAACCTACGACATGAAGACAAAAACTCGAGCAAGCAGAAAATTCTTAATGCTACAAGCGTTTACAGCTCTCACTTTATTACTCCACAGCGTCATGGGAAGTATAAATTTGTGGGTGAAATTCACTTACTTGTAGAAGAGGACATAAGCCTCACAGTTGGCTACTTGCTCGTCACTGACCTCCGTGACGTACATGTCATCATACTCGTACCACTGACCGTTCAACCAGTTCTGACCGTAGCACGTGTAGTGACCACCTAGTGGAAGGAGAGAAATCAAGTTTTGATCTTTGGAGTAAGAGGACAGCAGAGGAACCTGACTAGGTCTTCCAACAGGACACACAGACAAGAGGACGGAAGTGCTTGAATGTCCCCGAGCTAGACACTCTGTTGCAATTGCGTCTCCCTGACTGAGAGTAAACGTGCACCAGTGAAGCAAGATTGTTCACACTCAGTTGAAATCTGTTTTCAAGCACACTTCATGCCTTTTGGGCACACAAACTAGTACGTGCTCACACCACATGTCCTTGATCAACTCCAAGTTTCCACTAAAGGCCTCTCATCCATCACAGTTTTAAGTGGTACCGGGAATGCCCGCATGCCAGGCACTGAGGGATGACGGGCAATAAATCACAACACCATCATTTAAGTGTTTCTAACATTAAACATAATGAACTATTTATTCAGAAGCCATTCACTGCAAGATGGGTTTGGATGTGACTTACCTCCTGCTGTTCCATGGTGACAGATTACTGCCGTCAAATCATACATGTAGCACTGGTTGTTACATTCTGTGGTCAGTCAATAGGGGAACAAATTTGGCAAGGAGGACTGTTGACTACAATCATAAATGTTAACTCTAGTTTCTTGGGAATTTTCGCTCAGAGCTTGTCCTATCTTCCACTGTGCAAAAAAAAGCCAATGCCATCTTCTTTGAACTTTCAGAGGATGTCAGCGTTCCAGAAAAATAAAAGTGCCTGGAATAGTAAACTTTCTAAAACCTGCAAAATTCCTCAACACTTGACGGATTTTAAAGGATCAATCACAGTTTGGATGAAAGTAGAGGCGATTATCAGGAAGTCTGGATGCAAGGGTTGAGATCACGGGTAACAGGTGGAAGCTCCATGCCTACCTTTGGCAAGGTATGGTGACATGTCCAGTCCTTCCATGGGGAAGGAGACGTAACTGTTGATCTTTGACGAGTAGGACGACATAGACTCGTGACGGAACCGCTTCAAATGGACACATAAAACCTAAAACAGCCGAAAACTCAAGTCGCTGAAAAGGTGGAAAGCGAAAGTAATCTGGACGCATAATTTTACTGAATCCAATTAAAACAACATCCACTCCAGAGCAACTTTACAGCAAGATTGTCTGCACATTGTAAAAGTATTGTCCTTCAAGAAGACTTTACCCAAATCCAGTACCTTCCTGTCTTTGCAATAGTTATCTAGATCATATTGATTTAGTCTTACCTCTGGTAGTTCCAGAACTTGGGAGAACTTCACTCCATTGCGCAGCCTATGACAAGAAGAGGGGAAAAAAAGCAAGTGATGACGTTGATTTGATCAGAAAACACGTGTCCGGGAAACTTTGGAATTAATTTGTTTCAGTTACTTACTTTTTGCATTTGTCACAGCTATACATGTTGTCCCCTGCAATGAAAGGGAAAAGCCCTGTAATTAGCAAACGGGGACAGGCTACTTTCTTTCGATATGACATTTTACTACGGATGTCAACAATTTCATTTCCCTGGTCACAACGCCACCTTCTCTCACACCATCGATGCCTTCAAAGCAACTGAAAGTGTTTTGCCAGGAGTTTCCTGCAGGCTGTACGCAAGGGCTAATGCAACAGTGCTGAACCCCCCCCCCTTTTAATCGTCTGTAATCCTCTCCCTGTTTCACAAATAGAACAGCCACAAATCAAAGACGTCTTGGATTGGTGTTTTGGGGCATTTCAAAATCCACCAGATGGCGGAATTTGACGTCCTTAAACAAATTTTTGCCCCTGGACACCGCTAGTCTGCAGATCTGTCAGCCCCGAGCTGAAATGCACCCCCAATCGGCGAAAGAAAGACTGGTGGTTACAAGCGGGTTCTTGCACGTGTTCTGTGTGTATGCAAAGACCAAGCATGCCGGAATAAATTAGTTACGTGCGCTCAGCGTGCTCCGCATCAAACGCGCATATAATTGCTCTCTTTTGTTCCACTCGGAGAGGATTGCGTTTTCAAACCCCCTCCTGATAATCACCAGCACAATGCTTTTGCCACTGTTTGCCGACAGTCAAAGCGCTGGATTTTCTCTCACCTTTGAGATCATCAGCAGAAAAGAACGCTGCCAGGCAATTGTCCAGGGTGACATTTGGGCCCCATATCCACCTGTAACATGTAAAGGAAACATTAAGACCCCCTCAGGGGTGTATGAAATTGGAGGATTTGGGACTGTCAGGGTTAAGACAACTTTAAGACCAAAACAAATGTACTGTTTCTGAAGGCTTAACTCCAAAAGTTGCCATCATTCCAGACAACATGTGGGACTTGCAGATCCACTGAGCACACTGGTTATTTGTAGTGGCCCCCACCAATGGTGGCAAGTATTGTAATAACAACTGCATTGTACAGATGGAGCCACTGTTGTGAGACAGTACCTCTGTCCAAAACCGAACAAAACGCTTTCCTTCACTAAAGGGGGGTCATTGATCTTCTCTTATGAGCTGTACACTAATGTGGATATGAACATAACCGTCACAGCACGGGCATTTCTTTGCTGGGAGCCTTCCTAAATCCTCAAACTTCCTCCAATGTGCAGGAGCCTAACAGCACACTGTCTGACACAACCTTGCACGGTACATCGATCCAACCAAAAAAAACGACAGCTGAGCACCACATTTCTCAGTGAAACGAAATCCAGCCCAAACCTCTTGGCGGATTTGGAAGGATCTGGGAAGAGTCGGAATTCAATTCACCCACCCTGTGAACCAGCTGTAGAACCAGGAGATCCAGCCCTGCTTGCCGTAGGTGTCAGAGCATGGCGTGACACCCTTGGCTAGCAGGTTGTGCGACTTGTGGATCCTGGCCAGGTCCTCCTTGCCCGGGATGGGAAGGGATAGGTCTTGGAATGTCTCCTTACGAGTTGAGATCTGCCAAAAGTAATTCAACATTTTGTCAAATTTGATTATGACAGGTTTCTATTAGTTACCTTACAGATCTTAGTATGTTCGCATATTTTTAAGTATGAAAAAATGTGTCAGCCTGTTTGTTTCTCGTGTCATCAAGACACTGTTGGAACTTTAAAAAAATGACCCACTACTCCAAAGCAGGTGTTTCTTTCTAACACTGCAAAACCAGGCCCAATTCTACAGTGCTGGTCAAAAAAATGTATTGTCAAAGAGTTTGAAACCAATATTCACATTTGCAAATCAAGATTTTGCTTGTGAGAGCAGATTAAATGCGTCAGAATTGAAGAACGAGAAAAGAGTTCTGGATTTGTTCAGTTTTGTCTTACTGTGTCACAGGTGAGACACTGCACTGAGCTGAGGATCTTGCCATCAAAGACGTCCGACACGATACTGCGGTACTTTGGGATCAGCTTCTTACCTGAACAAAATAGGGGGTAACACAGACGTATGCTTAAAACCTTGTATGCTTCCAAGCCCAAGTCCTTCACAAGTGGCTGCGGTTGGGTGTATGCATGAGTCTATGGATGGTGGCTAAAGCCACTAACCATTAGCTTTCATGGACATGTGTGTTATTTCACCCCACAAGTCACAACTTTCAGACACAACCTAGTTTCCAGTATTGACTTATTCCATGGCTCCCTGAATCTCTGAGGGAACCTTTTCAGAAATTTGAACAATCCTGTTCCTTTTGTAATGCTCTGCTCAGAATTGAGGTTCACTGCCGATGAGATCAAGCAGCATATCTGAAGGTATTCATAGCGAGACACCCTGAGTTAGCATGCAGTAACATAGTCAAACCGAATCATTCCAGAGCATGGACTTCACCAAACTGATATCTAAGCGAAGGCTACAGTATATGATGAGTACCAGAATCTCAAGAAAAGCAATCCCTTTTATTGTTTGGTTTCATGCAGATAATTTCTAACTGTGAACAAAGGAAATTTCTGGACACTTTTTGACACTGTTTGGGTGATGTGGCCTACCTCTGTTTGCATCAGCTACCCTAAGTGCTACCTCCTCGTGACTGGGGCTTCGGACTATCTTCCCATGACTTCCGACCTTGTAGGGTCTCTTCTCCTCAGGCTGCCCGCCTCCAGGTTCCTCTAAGTCTCCGTCCTCATCCTGGGCCTCGTTACAGGGCTCTTTTGTCGTCTCACTCTCATCCACGTCTTTCTCCGGAGCATCCTTCTCCCGATCCTCCTTGCTGCGCACACGCCTCGAGGCATTCCCCCTCCGTGCCATGGTCTCCCGGACTGGCGCGTCCCCAGATTCCCCCGCCTGGGGGAAATCTGCGTCGGACTCCGACGGCCGCCGCTTCCAGCTGCGCCTGTTCTTGTCCGCATGACGGGGTGGGGAGGGCGAGGCCTCGTCCGACGTCAGGCTGGTGTTCTCGCTGGCAACACCACCGCTGGTGTTATCCGGCGGGCCCCCGTACTCCCCGTCTGAGTGACAGAGGGAGTCGTGGGAGCGTGCCTGGCGGGGCCGCTCTATTGCCGTGGCAGCGTCGGGCTCGTCCCCGCCTGAGGGGTTGTCATTCTGGTCCAGGAGGGGCTCCTTGAGCTCGTCATGTAGTCTGTCCATGAAGCAGCGTAAGAATTCCTGTGTGTCCTGTCCAATCAACCAGAATGTTAGAGTCAGGCTGTGTCTCAAACAAGCCTCCAGAGCTATGGATATGACTAAGGGCTGCATCCGAATCCGTTGGCTAGAGCTAGGTCTAGGTCTTTACTCCATTGGAAATATGCAGAGACGTGCAGACAGTAGACCTAGCCGTAGCTCTGGAAGCCCATTTCAGACACGGCCTATGTTGAACCACTGGTCAATTTGCCTGGTGCCCAGATACATTTTGTGTACAGGTTACCATGGAAAATCAATCAGTGATTGACTACTGGTCCAATTTGGCCTATGCCTAATAACAGCAACTGCCAATGTGTCCGCAACCAGAAATGACCCAGACCTGGCCTGAGACACAAGATTCCAGCACAGTCTCAAACTCTTCCGATTTCAATTCATAAATGCTGCAGCCACTTGGTCGACTGTTGATGAAAATTGTAGACCCCCATTTCTGTGGCACAACCTTGCACACCTGTCGCAAATCGTGGTGTCTAAGACCTTAGATAAGGATTCCCCATTAGCCCCAAATTAACTGTACAACGTCAAAGGCCTGGTCAGCCATCAGCACATCACAGTCCATTCCATATTCTTGCAATCAACAGTACAAACACAATTAACATGCGACTAGGCAGTGGTATAACAAGAATGCAGTACAATGTTGTACCAAGGTCCTTGCTATTGGGTCATTCCATGAGATTGAGGCACTATTTGGGTTCTGTAAAACTGAACAGCTATTTCCCTGCATGTAGATTCCAAATCGACACTGTTATACATGTACATCTTGCAAGGCTGAATACAGAGGTGTGTGTTATTCTTACAGAGTAAATGACCTACTCTACAGGTCATGACAGACGGTAAAAGGTACCCATGTTATAAGGACACTGTCACATATTATGCCCAAACCTCATGGAATGACCCTATTATGTCTACGTGTAGGGTCAAGTGTCATGTGGTTGAACCATTAGACCAGGAGTAACCAATAACAGAGTTACATTATGAGGTACCAAGCTGAGTTGACTTCAGAACTACCTACTGATGACAGCTACTGAATTAGGGAATTTTATTGGTCAGGTGATTGGGTGTATTAACAGACTACATAATTGTCAATGCACCTTAAGGACCTTAATCATGATGCTACTATGTTTGTCTTGTTACCTGTAAACCCATTGGCATTATATGTAGTTATACAAATTTACATACTGATAAAAGGGAACAGACTATTTTCCTTCCAGCCTCAGTTTCGCTGCGTTACATTGAATGGTACAAAAGCAAGATGGCTGCCCCATGATAGAAGTCTCTTTCTGAGCAAGCCATTTTTGATCTAGTTCTTTGTATCAGTGCTCTAAATATCCTACTCAAAAATATCCTACTCAAAAATATCCTACTCAAAAATATCCTACTCAAAAATATCCTACTCAAAAATATCCTACTCCAAAAAGTTAAGGACCACTTTTTTCTTCCCTTGTAATTTTTTTCAAGCAATGAGTAGGGTCTTGGTCTTTCAATTTTTGTTTGTCTAGACCGTGTTCTCATTGAAGCAAAAAAAAATGATTCAAAACATCAAATGCACATTTTCAGCAGTAAAATATCTCGCATAAAAAGTACACACAAAATAAAAAGCGGTCCTTAACATTTTTAGAGTAGTGTATTTAATTGTTGAATGGGATGGTATCAGACTATTTTGGGATTTTTGTGGGTTCCAAGCCTCACCTTCATTTTCTGACATCTTGCATAAAACAGTTTTATCTCAAATCATTCATCGGAGTGGAAAGGTTATGCTGTTGAATCTCATAAAACACTGCAGGGACCAGACAAGTTACTGAACATGGCTTTGTCACAAGTGCAGTGGAAAACAAACGAAGACATAAGAATTCAAGAAATTGAGATTCTTGAAATGGGTTCTTTATAACCGTATTTTGCTGTAACAGTGTTCCTTACGACGAGAGTCGACTGTAATTTGTCAGAAAATTTCATTTTCCTCCTTCACTGATGCCCTCAAGTTCACCAAATGAAAAGTTAACTTTGCTGTCAATTTCAATATGGCCAACTTAAGAATACGGTTCATGTTGAGCCTGCCGTCTCACCTGCTGCATGAAGCCTTTGAACATGGGAAACACAGAACGGATGCTGTTGATGAGACTGGATGGCGTCAGGTAGCTGGGTCTGCAGGAACACAATCAGATCAACCTGTTTCCAGAAAGTCTCAAGACCAGAAATGACATTTCTAATCTCTCTCTTGCGTGAATTACAAGAAGACACGTGAAAAATGGGGAACAAAATACAATGTTTCTGTGCGAGTTACGAAACTGTGAACGCCACAGTATATACAAAGAGTTACTAGACAAAGCAGATAGACATGGAGCACTTCTCAACAAAGAATGTTCTCAACTAGGGGAAGTATGAACTAAAAAAAATGAATGAGTAAGTTTCTGAGGTTTAACAAAATGCCCACGAACAAGAAAAGTACAACTGTTTTGGATTTGCTTGTCTTTTTTATAGGACTGGAGAAGACGGAGATTGCATCATCTTGAAAAGCTGTCTTGCCTCCTCTTGCCCCAGATCTCCTCTACCAGCTTCTGGTAGCTCTTGGCCAGGTAAGGTCTCTTTTCCGTCTTGACAAAGCTGCTGCACTCCAAGAAGAAATGGGTGAACGCTGGGCTGTGGAGACCAAAGCATAATATCAAGGAGAACATTGTTCCCGTAAGCAGACTCCCGAAGAAATTGGAGATACAAAATTTTGGGCAACAAGTGATTAATGCATCTTACCAGCCTAGGAGAAAAAACAATAAGAGAAACACAACTTACCAATTTGATAGCGCCTGGATACCAGCGCTTATGTAGCATGTATTACCCAGGTTTCGAAGCCCTGTTAAACCTGAAAGATTGAAAAAAAAATGCAAGTGTTTTCTATCGGCTACCAAGACTGTATCCAACTTAATGTTTGAATAATGAAATTTGAATGAGCCACTTCGGTGCATGCTCAATATGAGGTCATTCAGGAACAGCTACTCTCGCGCGACCGATAGTCTGTCTTATCAGCGCAGTCAAACACTGACTCGCGCACGCTTTGTTGCCGAAAGACTTCGGTTTTGTGAAATAGCGAACTGGCCCATGCCAGATTATGTAGCCTCATTTACAATTTATCTAGCGGTATTTATACATCGATCTTTTCATGCGACGGCTGTTCATTTAGAACCTGATTTAATAAACTGGGGGATTCGTTCGTGATCGTCTCAAGTGGGGTTCTCGACTCTGCCTCACCTCTGGGCTTGTGATCCTTGTTGAAAAACTCATCCATGGCCTGAGTCACGGGTGAATCAAGGGGCAGCAAAGATGGACCTCTGCCAAGACAGAAACAACACAGTTACTCATGTTACTTTAAGAGAAAACTGTTTTGCCCGTCCTTGTGATATCCTCCAGTAACATATTACAAGATTCCCCTACAAGAGTTGTAGAACAGCAGTAATTTACCCTGAAAGGGCTCAGCCTACAACAGCACTTTAGAAGTATGTGGTTTCGTTTTCCAGTGACAGTTTTTGTTACTAGTGTTAGATTTTTTAGGCTGTTACTTTTCTAGACCCAAGATGGGAAGTGGTTTGATGATATAGCCAAAAGCAGGTTTGATGACACAGCCAAAAGTATCCACTAAAATTTTGAGTTGGCCGATGGCGTTAACTTTTATTTCAAGGTTTGCCCTTTACTGATGCAACAGTACAAGTTGAGGGTTGTCAATGAAGGTTGGAGCTTGTTGCTTGGGGCGCAGCTGCACCATGCCCCGGAATGAACAATTTACATGACAAAAGGACGAGTACTGACAAGTCGCAGGTTAGATAAAAGCCTAGACACTCACTTAGGTGGCAGGTCCCTCACGATGCGCTGGTGGGCCACGCGTTGCACCTCTCTCTCCACAACCATGCGGTGGCGCTGTGTGACCTCCACTGTGCCCTCTCTGATGACGCAGTCTGGGAAGGCTTCCTCTTCGCAAGCAGAGCACCACACCCTCAGGGAGAGAAGGTTAAGGTTGAGGGGATGGTCCATGTTCTGCACACAAACCGGACAGACAACATCTTGCGTCAAGGACTGCTTAGATAACTTCCCAAAACTCAGAACATTTCCTTTCACGAACTCTGCAAGTTCCCTTGTGGAACTGCATCAGAGAATGAGTGAAGTGCAGTGACCAAAAGCACTGACCCACTGGAACGAGCAATGCACTCACTGGAACATTGAGAAGCATTCCAACTTTTGAGACAGTCCCTGAGAAGACTTATTAGGTAGCACTCGATATGTGAATGGAAACTTCATGTGTTTCATGACTTCAACACTGACCCCCAGAACTGCTCAACTACACACATCTGGCAGCCATGTTGAGGGGTCAGTGACAACATGTAACCTAAAGGCATCAAGACTGGGGAGCTTGTGAAAAGTCCAACCTGTACTGGATGAAATATGTCGCATTACACTTAAAGTTTAAACCCAACATAAAGGGGAGATCTCACGTTACCTTGGAGTGTTCCGAGCTGTGATCATGGAATGATTCACCACAACCAACATATCCACAATTCTCCTGTACCAAAGGAAAATTAAAAACAAAAAACAAGTGAAATTACATTGCTCATTAGCAAAAGCCATTTTTACGTCAACTTTAAAACACTTCATCTGGTGACCACCAGCAACAGGAATTCCAAGGACATGAAGAACTATGAGGTTGGATTTCAGTCTAACAAAGAATTAAGCTTTTTTTGTAAGTTTTAATTCAATGCTTATTCGGCTAGTTATCGAGAGGATATCTAAGATGGGGGTCACCTTACCGTGAGGCACATCCATAAGTTGGGTCCCACGGCGTCACAGGAGTTGCAGCATCCCTGTCAAGGAGAGAGTGCAAAAGTTAGTCTGCCGTCAAGAATTACGCCAGATTGAAACTTGAAGTGCACTTTTCATCTCCCGACAAAATCCGACCAACCTGGTTGACTCATCAGCAAACAGACTGTACAATATTTCTGCAGGTTCGGGAGGGGTTACTTTACCTGATATAAACACCTGTTACCATTCAAGCCCAGTTCTATCACACTGTGAAATATCTAAGCGCTTCAGTTACTACACACAATTTCAAAAACTACATCGATAATTTACGCAGTCTGTCTGTAATTCCAAGGGGGCTGACGCAGCTGTAGGCATTAAAAGATGTGCTATGGCTTCCATGGAAATTACTGCTTTGTATTTATGAGGTTAACATGGTCAGGATCAGTAGGGTAGCTTGGAAGTTTCCAGTTTACCTGGGAACGTTGTCGTAGGTCCTCTTCATGGAAAAGTGCTGTCCTGACCGCGTGGGGACACTCTCTGTTTCGATCCATTGTGTCTGCATGCCAATGTAACGATGGGAGATGTTCATAACGAGTATGACATATCAACCACTGTATCCCCGATAAGAAAGTTCTCCTTTGTGGAGTGGCAAATCTAGATAGTCCTGTTTTCAATTTTTCCTTTTATCCTGTTTATAAGTGTGATGTCACTTCAGTTCAAACCACGCCTACTGCACATGGAACTAAATGGAACTAGACGACAACGCGCAACTTGAATGCTCAAGCAATGGAAGTTTGAATGGAAATCAGCAGTGCGAGCGCATGTACATGTATGAAGAAGTCACTCATGAACCAGATTATTGAGCCCTTAATGTCCCTTTAATAGACTGATTGTGCCCGCTAAGTCAGGTGACATATAGTAGGTATAAACTATCATTCAACGAAAATGGCTTCCTCCCAAATTCTGCTGATTTGTGGTATACATGTAGCACTTAGCACTTGACCCCTCATCGTCTCGACGGCTGTTCCATGTTAAGACATGTCTAAACTGCTGCCAAAGTTTTGGAAGAGCCTGTTGGTACATATATCTTATCGCTCAGTCTGTGTATTGGATATGTCTTGACATGGAACAGCCATCGGGACGATGAGAAGTCAAGTGACGTAATGTTCAACGACCTCATTGTAAAGATGGCGACCATGAGAGCGAGCCCGTGAGATTAAATGGGTGAAGGCAAAAAGACTGGAAAATACTAGAACGTGAGAAATCATTCAATAAATGGCACTAAGAAAGCGGAAATGCTAAGGATCATCTCTGTGTGCAAAAGAAATTGTGACCACGATGATAAAATGGTACGCCGAAAATATTCAGTACGCTGACATGAAATTGCGCATACGGATGTGTGGCTAAGGATGGAGCGGGAGTGAAAGTCCGTGCCACACTAATGGGGCAACTCCTTTGCCAAGCCTCAAGTGCAATAAATGGAAAAACCTCCGACCTGGTTAACAATTAACCATGCATGTTAACAAACCTTCCGTAACACCGCCAAAGTAAACACAGTCCATTTTCTGTACACAGTGAAGCTATTTCTCAAAATTTCGTTTCATCTAATTCTGGGAAGTCTTACCTCAGTCTGTGGAAGTGTGATCTGTGATTTTTATGGCGTTACGCACTGTAAGGAAAATAATTCAAGCCGACCGTTTGTTGCTGTGTCACGTACGTGCATGAAGGCTAAAATTTAATGCAACTCAATCAAATCGCGGGGTGTTCAAGACCGCCCTCATTCGACGAATAACGATCAATGTTGCTCCTGTTGCAACGTTGGCGGCTTGGGGTTGCAGAAGGTGCGTGGTGGTTTACACCCTGCTTCGCATCCTAGGATGAAAACTACTCTTGAATTCGAGTAAAGCTTTTAAAGGCCATTAAGCTAACCCATTGCAGTGTTACTTTTCTGTCCTATGATTCCATCACTCCGACTTTGGAGAATCCCGAGTTTAAGCATGGAGCAAGGTAAATTAAGCCACTGTCAATTGTGTCTTTCGATGTTCATTTAAAAAACAAGTTCTAAAACTTAACTTCGCTTCTAAGAAAGTTCATAAAACGTTGCATGAGGAAATGCCAAAGTTTTGCCCACCCCAAAAGCGTCATGGTCCTCTTTCCCACAATAAATTGAAAGCCAATTCTATTTGGACAAACCACAGACAAGTTGTCGAGTTTGACTTCAGGCTGTATAGTTTACTCGAGTTTTTTCTTCAAGGGCAATCCAACAATGAAATGACATACTTTAGGCTTGCTTGATAAGTGGCACTACATGTATATGTAGATAGTCATCGACTATGGAAGTACTTTTACATTCAAAGCCCTAAAACTTTAGACCTCGAGGGTAGATCTGGGGTAAACGCGCCCCACGCCCCGCCCCCAAAAGGCAAAAACATTTTTTTCTCTCCTCAAAAACAAGCTCCGCCCCAATGGTCCTGGGTCTGCCCTTGAAATTGGTTACATTATTTCACGTTTTGAACAAAACTTCGATTTTAGCAAAGACGAAAACGTTCAATCATCTCAGCCTTGAAGTAAAGACTTGAAAAACTTAGACGAATTCAGAATGAAGCAGGCACACAGAAAAATTGCGATAATATATGAAATTCCGAATTAAATAGCCTCGAAGAAATTTTCTGGAGTGTGCAAAAGTTGCTGTCATCTGCATTCCCCCGCGACTCTCCTTGTAAAGGATGAATGGTCTCAGTCTCTTGGTCTGTTGGTTGTGGGATCGAATGCAAACACACATACATCGCTTGTCAACGAGGAAGGTCTGCCTGATGTTTACTGAAAGTTAATACGCAATGAGCGTGTGCTAGACGTTGGAAATTGGAGTTTTCTTTTGCAATTGCTTTAATAATGGCTTTAATTATGTTTTCTCTTAAAGGAACTGTCCCTCATAAAGAACTATCAGAGTGAAGATGTATAGCGATAGGCGAGAATCAAAGTTAACATGCCTTATCAAATTGTTTCTTTTTTGAAATGCCTCAGAGTGTCTCCTTTGGCTCGTGTCTTAGGTTTCCGGTGTTGGTTTTAACTTCTGTACTTTTGTAACAATCATAATAACGTCGAGTAGATGTTACACACATAATTACGATCAAGCCGGCATGCTTTCATAACTTAAGCTTTACACAAAAGCAGGTTATTGTCATGCAAACGGTACAGATCCCTTAAAGTTTCAGTCACCTTTTTTGACTCTTTAAATTCTCCTGCAGTGATCGGAACACCAGTATGTACAAATTAAGTCAGGATTTCAGTCTGTTCAAGAGTTCTGCTGGAACAGGGAAGTCCTAGGATTTTCACAGATAACTCCTGACGTTTTATAGTTCAACTGCCGGTAGTAAACTTTCCAGTAGTTCTTGTACACCTCGGAGAGCCACATGCACTCCCTCTGCGGGTAATTCACGATCAGTAAGAACGGCCCGTTAGAGATTCCCGAGTCCGGGGAGTGAACGCCTCCCCGTCGGTGGTCAATACTCCTGGCTCTGCGCAGCCAGCGCCTTGGCCGCCTTGTTGGTCTTGCTGGACGGTAGGAGCACGGACTGGATGTTGGGCAGCACCCCGCCCTGGGCGATGGTCACTCCGGACATCATCTTGTTGAGCTCCTCGTCGTTGCGGATGGCCAGTTGCAAGTGGCGGGGGTTGATTCTCGTCTTCTTGTTGTCCCGGGCCGCGTTGCCGGCCAGCTCCAGGATCTCCGCCACCAGGTACTCCAGGACAGCCGCCATGTAGACCGGCGCGCCGGCCCCGATGCGCTCGCTGTAGCGGCCCTTGCGCATGAACCGGTGGACCCGGCCCACGGGGAACTGCAGCCCTGCCCGGTTGGAGCGGCTCCGTGCCTTCCCTCCCATGCCTTTGCCCTTGCCGCCTTTGCCTCTTCCGGTCATGCTGGTCTTGGCTGCTCAAACTTTTCAGAACCGGGGAAGTACTTCAAGTACCTTCAAACTTGGGCAAGACGTCCTAACGTGTTGAGTTCCTGCCTATGACTACAAATTTCTGCAAACTGGGCAAGACGTCTCAATGTATTGAGTTCCTGCCTATGACTGCAAATTCCTGCTAACTGCATTGAATGCTCAAACCACGAGGTGACTGAAATGCGCGGTTGCTCGGTTTAAATACCAAAGCGACTTAGCGCGGGAAGAATCCACAGGTGCTCCTTTGACAATAACATTCAGTCTGGCAATCGCTGTTATTGTGACAGAAGGGAAGGCTCACGGTTATTCGACGGGGCAAGAACCAGATATGTGGAAGCAATTCTATAACGTCTCATCTGATTGGCTGAACAACGACACCGACTTTTGTGAAGCGCAACTTATTTAGTTATGCAACGCAAGGCTGTAGGTACACTTCAAGTTTCATTTTTCGGCTGCTCCGAAACGTTGGTTGCAATAAATCGGGAGTAAGAAATTATCAGCGTTTATCAATCATTATCGATATTAGAATTGGTTTACCGGCACATTTATACACTTTTTTCTTCATTCAAATTCACAAAACGGTTAACTTAAAATTCGTCCGGAGAAGACTGGAACGAACACGCGCTACAAGGAATTTAGTCATCGGTCATTCCAAATGATCAAGGGTTCAAATATATATATATTGTTTGCTCTTGTTTTTTAATTTAATTTCTTCATATTTCAATGGAATTCGCTTCATCCGATGACCATGTGCATAATGAAAGACTGACTTAGTCTTTGTTCAATCGCTTTCACGACAGTTTCGGTCGGATTCAATTTGATGGTGTACACACGGGTGCAATGCAAAACAAGAAACTGAAAGTTGAACAACCAGTCCAAAGGTCAAGAAGAACTGAATTGACCGTGTGTTAAAGGTGTGAAAATATGAATAGAATATGAATATAAAGGTGTCGATTCATTTGGTATAAGAAAAAAATGGGACATGGTCCCGCTGTTTAAAAAAAAGGAGGTGAATAAAGCAAATATGGGATGCCGACAACATGCAGGGAAAAATTATCCATCAGCGTATAGCCATTTCGTGATGGAATTTACCAGCCGCCCGAAGTTGTTTGCATTAAAACTTTGTTAGTGTATGTCACGGTGTATGTTTTTCTTTGGAATTTTTTTTCATGCAGTAATAGTGTTGCCACGATTATTCGGCAACACCGAAGCAGACTAACGCGTTAAAAAAATTCGAACCTTGGAGCCACATTAAGGTGGTAAATTATATATACAAGTTCGCGGGGAAAGTTCATCTTTTATTACATACACTCGAAAGGCCACGTAAGTGAGAAAGTGCTGAAAGAGAAAAAGCGCCGAATACAAATTCTTTATTGACTTCAAGTGTTCAAATAATTGATGAGTACAAGGAGTGCTGCTGTCAATTCGATAGAGTGGTTTTTGTTGAGACGCTTAAAAGTACACTTTCAAGTTCATCACTAGCGATAACTAAGCCAGTGATTATTAAAATATAACAAACTAACAAACGCGTAACTAACCAACCGACCCACCTATGAGTTTTGGCGGGATTTCTTTTTGCAGGGGGCGGGGTGCAAAGCACTTTTCTGGGGGGGGGTTCCAAGGGGGCCAAAGCACTCATCAGCAACGAAATGATAAGCCATCAACAGTTCAAGGACGTCAATATCGAGGTTTTTCACGCAAGTTGATGATTTTCTTCCCCGTCCATCGCGTTTTTCGTTTCTTTTGTATTTTTCTGTTTAAAATTCTTTGTCTGGGGGGAGCAAACATCGCCCTGCCCCCCCCCCCGGCACCATAGACCGACTGACGAATTACTTTGAAACAGCTGCCACACATTGCGCTTTTGCGGAAAATATTCAAAGGGTGTGCTGTTGCGAGCGACGGAAATTGATGGTTCCAACCTTCGACCTCCACAAAAAACACAACTGTAAAAAAAACACTACTTTTATGTAAATTCCACTTCAAATGTAAAGTCAAACTGTCAGAAAGAGGGTTAAGATGCAGCTTTGTACCTACATGAAATAAATAATGATTAATACGCAACGTGATATAATGAACAGCACCCTTGGTGTTTTAGGCTTTTTGAAAATTTGAACAGTTAACATAATCCAGTTATCCCCATAGAAAGTCTCTGGCGACGCCGCTCCTTGAGCCATGAATCAATGCGGTTGCATCGCTACCAACAAAAATGAACACTCCCGATCAATATGGCCTGTTTAAACCGATGAGGGGGTGCTTCTGCTCAGGGCGGATTCTCCATTCTCCAGAGAATGAAGCCTTGATTGGTTACAGTCTGACCCCGATTGTCGGACTGGCATGCCCCCCATTTAAATATAGGTGACACCGTGAGTGGAAACCTGACAAAGTGTTCAGTGGGTCCCGTAGGTCATCCAGTACGGCCACCGATGAAGCTTAATTGTGTTAAACTGACTTTTTCTTTAGACACTTGAACTAACGACCCTTGTGGGTACCGAGCAGCAATTTTTCAGGAAGGGGGGGGGATATAGGGAAAAGTTGAAGGCTTGTAATTGTTTTTGTAATAAGAGATATGGCAGTGGTCACCCGGGGTGGGGGCTTTGGGGCTTAAGCCCCACCCCCAAGAGGTTTTCCTTTTTTTATCTTTTGAATATGAAGACCGGATATACACTTCCTTATTAAAAGACTATCTCTGATATATAGCCTCACATTCATGTCCCCTAGCTGTGGCGCAACCAAAGGAGGGGCGTTTGAGCATCATGAGCAATGTTTAGGGTAAATTCTGGTCCGAGCCCCCCCGAAACCTAGTTGCAACGCTGCCGTCATTGTAGGGGCCTTACTGGTCAGATTAAGGCGCGAGATGAAATGAAAAATATTTTAAAAGAAAACACATTAAAAAAACCTACGCACTTCTGAATTTTGTGTCTAGAGGTTCGTTAAGGCTTGCTGGTTGTCGAAAATGTTCACTTCACGCGGTGGATTAACCTAGTTCCATATGTAGCCCGAGCTGTTGCTGACGTCACGAAACAGAGTAAGTGGGGGTTTGAGCCCGAAGGCGAACATTCCGAGTTACCAACAAATAAGTCATACTTTATCCATATAATTGACATATCGCTTTACGGGAAAAACTACACCTTTATAAAATAATGAATTCAAGTTTTGAGATCTCTAAGAATTAAGAATGTGAGCTGTAAAGTTTCGGGTAAAATTTACAATTGCATTTTATTTTATTTATTCTATAAGCTTTGCATGTCTCCGTCCCACTGATGGAGGGTTCGAGAAGCATTCACAGTTATTTTTGTTTACATACCTTCATCGATGCAATCAAAGCAAACATAATTTTGTATTCTGTGTCTGGAGGGGGGGCTGGCTGTTGGTCGCTTGATTGACACAGAGCCAAATTCACAATCGAGTTTCCTTAAACTCTTGGCAAATACACATCTTCACAGATCGCACGGACCCGCAAAGCACACAGGTGTTTATCTAGGCTGCGCCCTCTAGTCGGATTATCTGATACTGCATTTCGACAGTGATCTTTTTTTTTGCGCTTGCAGTGAAACCGTGAGGATTTGCTGCAAGAATAAGAAACCCGCCCATCGGCGAAAGTATGCGAATTGTCTCTGAATTTGGTAATGTAAGTGGAATTCTCTTAACGAAATCGTGTAATTCCGAAGAGTAATTCTGAGTTTTCTGTTTGGTGTTACCGTTTGACCTGTATTTTAACATCATGTGGAATTTGGAGGAGTTCGAAAACATGACATCGCCGTCGGAATTTGATGACAAATATGCTGTGTCAGACGGTGTACGCATCCAGCAGGCAACGGTCATCGCCTGCTCGTGAGTGGCGGGAGCGGTCTGCGTCTTCTTGGTCATCTCGTCCATTACAATGACCCCGGACCTCCGTGCACCACACAACGCCTAAGTGCTGAACCTCGGCGTGTCACGTCTGACTTTCTCCTGTCCACGGTCACCTTCCCCCTCTACTTCGTAAGCGAGGTGTAGGACCGCTGACCGTTCGGGCCCGATCGCTCTGCTTCAAGATTTCGCTGGCCCTCATGGGCGTGTTCATCTACACCCGGACCGTGGTCGCCTCCAACCGCTACCTCATCTCCAGGCCCCTGCGCCGTCTACGAGGGGTTCTGCGGCCTCAGGCAGGTCATCACCAGGGTTGTCTTCGTCGCCCACGTGGTGGAGGCAAACTACAGCCCAGCTTTATCACCCGTGCACCCTGGACCCCCCGTGACCTTGACACGCTGATCTTCATTGCCGTGTTGATCGTCCTGGTGATTTTTCACGTCTCTGGTTGTGATCCTCCTTCAGTACTGTCTCGTGTTCCCCACCAGCAGGGCTAGAGGAGAGTGCATACCGTGACGGGGTCCAGCGCCGCCGTCTCCAGCTCCCCAGACACACTGACGGTGGTCGCCCCCAGGGAGCGCTAAACACTTCCGCGTAGCAACCGGTCGTGGACATCCACTACGTCTCCACCGCCCGAGGAACTCGTGCACGGACGAGATCAAACCCATTAATTTAATTAAGATGTCTGTGTTCATCACGCTGCTGTCAATCATGTGCTTGCTGCCCCAGTTTATCACGTACGTTCTCGGGCCAACCCACCCGGTTCTGTTCCGGGTAGGCAGGTTTGAGTGTTTCCAACTCACCGTGAGTGTGAGGTCCGCTGGGAACCCGTTCATTTACGCTTGGATCAACACAAACGTGAAAAGCTGGCTTAAGGATCGTTAAATGCCAAAAATGTAGAGGACTGACCTGATCCTTTTTCAGCCTAAAACCATCCGAGGATTTGCCAAAAGTGTACGAGATGTCTTATTTCTTACATTTTACTTTTAAAAATTTTGTTGTGGCTTTTCGCATATAGACCTATTAGGAATATTTTACGATAAAAAGTAGTTAGCAAGGTCGTCGTTAAAACCCCGTTTGGTTTGGTTTGGATTTTGCGAAATTGGCCAAGCTGTCAAGTTTCGATACATTTTTGCCCCACTCATTCTACACCTTTTTTTTTCAAGACCGGAGACTGCAAAACTCATGATCACGGGTTTTCCATAAATTTGTAACTGTTAGTTTGCTAGACTAGCAGTTATTTTGCAAAATCAATTGTCACGTGTTGCTGTTTTCTTAATTCGTCATATGTACGTTGCCTGCGGCAAATTCGGAAACTTCATATTTCACCCATATATCAGGTGATATGATGGCAACTGAAGTGGAAATAAATTTCATCTTGTCGATTTCAGGAATATTACAGAATGTCAGTCTATAGATTGATTGATTACAATTTCCGAATGTTTATTATGTTCTCCCTGGACTGCCAAATTTGACGTTAGTCTGAGGTCAAATCAACTTGAAGCTACGAACTGACACAACCTTTGCATGTACACACAGTGGACATGCGTCCTGTGATCCACTTTAATGCAGTATTTTTTGCTCACGTCATATTGCACAGAACCCAAAACTATCTCATCCTTCAGCTCTCCTTTTGCCAGTCAACATAATGGCCATACATATTAGAAGTACGGACAGGATAAAAGCTACTTAAATTCGATAAAATTGTAAAAAGTAAAGGTTATAGTTAAAGTTTTAGTTCTGTAAATAGCCACAGTTTTGTAGAAGAGAAAATGAGTCCGTTTAGGAGTAAGGATATACATGTATATTTCCACGTCGACAGAATACGGGCGATTCACAAGAGTGCGCCACCACGAGGCTGCAATGCCTTGGCCAATCATAACGCGCGAAATTTGTCGACCCTTTCCACACGCGCATTGGGTCGACAAATTTCGCGCATTGTGGTTGGCCAACGCGTTGTAAACTCTTGGTGGGGCACTCATGGTGAGACGGCCGTATCGGACACTGTATACCTGAAGGTAGCCAACTTCTTGACCTCAAATATTTTCTGGACTATTTACAGCTAACCTTCATCATCACAGATCACTTAGTGCTCAGTGTCTAGATCATCGGTTCATAGTACGTGCAACTCTCCTGATAAGGCTGGAGTGCCAACGTGTTGACTTGCGAGACTGTGGCGGCATTCAACACGCAAGTGGCGTTCCCCAGCAGGTTGAAGGAGCGGCAGTTGGGATCGACAAGGCAGGCAACACAGCATTGTACCGGGTGTCTCCCCTCCATCTGGGTCAAGGTGTGGTCCGGCGGCAGGAGGTGGCATCCGCCGCCTGCTGAGCTCAGGGTGTGGCACAAGGTGAAGGGACGGCATCGTTCCGCCGCGGCGGCCCGGCGCTCGCACATGGTGAACTTGGCGTGACCGCAGCCCGAGCCTCTCCACCGACCAGTTGACCGGGACATCACCCCACACCCTTCCTGCTCCGCCGGGTTCCCTTCGGTGTACACGTGGCAGTAGCTCAGCTTCTCCCCATTTTCTGCAGTGTCAGGACAAGCAGCGGTGCCGTTCTCTGGGTCTTTCCTGATTTCGAACCCGAGCCAGAGCTGCGGGTGAGTAGTCACATTCATGAACAGGTAGTGAATAAACTGGTTTTCTTCGGCTGAGTTCGGCACTACCAAGTAACCGTCGAGCTGCCGGCACATGGTTTCGGCCTCCGATTTTTCGTGCCGAGACGTCGAGTCAAACAGATAACAGGACTGGTCGCGTTGAGTCCATCCAGGCGGACACTCCAGCCCAAGACAATGACCGATTCTTCCTCCTAAGGCCAGCATACTCCAAAAAAAGAGGAAAATTCGTCCTTCGGAAACCATCTCCATGCCTTGATGTGACTTGACTGAACAACCAGCCAGTAGTGCAGCCCTTTTAAATTAACCAGCCCATTACGTCCAATTCTTATGGGCTCTCGACCAATCAGAACGCACACAGTTTTCTCGCGTCCAGCATTAAAATTGGCAACAATCATTATCTTCAAGTAAAAAGAATTTGCCTGTTTTTATCCAATTTTTACATTACACGTTCTAACGCAGGCACGGAGTGAATTCTACTTACAACTAACATGCTTCATGAATTCTCCATTCATCATAACACTTGTCATTGCTTTTGCTCTCTTTTCTGACAGTCCATCAACAAGATGACGCTTTATTTTGCGGTTAAAGCTCGCGAAATCAGCCACCCCCTGTTGCTATGCAGCCCTTCCATATTTCTCTGACCACCTGTTGCTATGCTGTTGCTACGCACAGATCGTGCGCGCGCAACAGCATAGCAACAAATCGTGCGCGCGCACTTTGGTAATAAGCGCCATAATCATACGTGCGATTGCCCTTCCAGGATGAATTAATCGGGCTGGGGCTGTACCTTTCTATATGTCCTTGCGCACACAGCCCTCCTTGTTATACGGACCGAATGGCCACTGAAAAATTTATAACCACTAACAACAAAGAAATGATCAAATGGTAGGGTTTGGTGATATGTAAAATACCTTGAAGGGCTGGTTGCCATAGGAAAACCATGTACCAATCAACATTGAGTGTGCACGCAAGCGCCCAAGATGGAGAAGGCTGCTTGAAATATGGAGTTCATGACGTTTGGGTTGGACATACACCGAAGAATTCATGTTGACGGACCGGTACCGGTCACAGAAAGTGGTAGGTACTGACGAATCTCAAAAGGGGAATGGACTCCTCCCTCCTCCGTTCAGCCATTGACAAATTTCACGATACTGTAATAATTTCAGCCGGGCAAAGAACAAAATAAAACAAAACAAAATGGAATGAACTGTCAAGGTTTTCCTCATACCCCGACCCCATAAACAAGGTGGTATATCCTGTACGCGACTCCGCTCTTGACTTCCGTGACAATTCCTCAGCAAATCAATACTGATTTGTATTCCTGCGACGGAAAGTGTAAGGTCGGAAAAACCTCACCTTGGCAGGTGGTATCCTGCGGGTGCATGGTGTATCGACAAGTACGTGAAAAACTCTGAGCTCCTCGCTTATATCACTCCCAAACGACCTATCAACCAGACCCAACCCAGCCAAACCCAACCCAAACCCAGCCCAAATCCAGCCCAACCCAACCCAAATACAGCCCAATCCAGCCCACCAATCACCACCCCAATGCCTCCATTTGTATTGCCAGATTCCTTCTGATACAGTCATGTATGCTCACACGTCTGCTCGAGTCAAACGGCCATTGGTTTATTCCAGAACAAAACAAGGGATATCTTATCGAAATATTGCGCCCTGTAGCTTGAATGGCACAATATAATTCGTACAGATTTTGTGCGATGCACGCAATTCAGCAGCCAATTTGGTTCCGTGTTTGTGTAGAGACTTTGCGTGGCAGCCATCTTGCAGGACAGTTCTAAATTTGTTCCACAGGGAAACCTCCTTCGTGCATACCATACAACACTGCCCCGCAATATGGCAGCCATGCAAACACTCTATAGTCGAAGGTTGACATCCACTACATGTATTGCAACTTCGTTCGGTTTCTTCGTGTTATTTTCAGTGAATGGGTTTTATATATTTTCAAGGCTTTTTGATGCTGTAGAAACAAGTCTATAAACAACGTACACTGATGTAGCCAGTTCAGGTTTATGTATTTTTTGCGTTCGACGGTGCAAAATAACACTCAGGGTCGTCGTATAATTACAAAAAAATTCAATTACCACGCTGTCCCATTCCATCGATGTACTGAGTCCTACCCGGTAGGCCAGAAAACGTACACAGCGAGGGATTAAGTTTGAAAAATGAACACAGCGGTTTCTTTTGGGCCTGTTTATTTTAGAGCTGGCAAATCGCGCGATAGGTCGATCAACCGCTGTATTTTAAAAACTTAGTGTTTTTCATAGATAGTGCACTAAAATAGTACGGTTTAGCCAGTCAGTGTTCTCCTTTGTAATAACGTTACGGATTGGCAGGCACGATTGAGCACGTACGTTGTCTCCAGAAAGTTTACAGACGTCTTCCGAAAGTATATAGTGGGGACAGGGACCAGTTCAAGCGCTTCCTCATGGTCTTCCCGCGGGGTGCCATAGTCATCTTGGGGAGTCAGTCAAAACCATTTACACACGTATACATGTACTTTAACGGAATTCTTCGCTGTCAAAAAATAGCATACATTGTTTCCGTAGTTTTTTTTACATCAGAGCCAACAAACAACTACGTATTCTGGCCAACCAGCGTACTCGTCAGGTATGACATCATGGCCGTTTTCCAATACTCGACTTCGTCTCCGTCCCAGGCTTCAAATGTTTCTTTTTCCTATTTGACTTTGATGTTGTAAGCGCAATAGCAAGTGTGATAGTGCCACAAAACATCAAGTAAGGTGCAAAACAGCCAAACATTACAGTACTTCAATTTTGATTTTTGAGTACTTCAATTGAACACTTCAGGCCCCAAATCGGGGATCGGTTTCGGAGACGAATCTGAGACGGAGACGAAGTTGAGTATTGGAAAACGGCCATGGCCAGGCTCTTCTACGTCATAGTTGTGTAAAGGGGCCGTCCAAAGTGTTCAACATTTTCACAGTAGAACACAGAGTACTTTTTTTAAGACCCCCTCCCCAAAATAGTACTTACCAACATGTTTCGAGATCTTGAAATACTGACGACGTCCCGTGGGCACAACATTGCTGGAAAGTACCACAACCTCATTCATGTTTATAATCATCAATTGCAGAGCGAAAATTTTTCAAATCTAAAGATGTTTAATAAGCAAATGTGTCAGTCTTTATACTTGAATAGTTTCACTTAAAAGAAAAGTTTATGTGGAAATGGGGTTCTTAAAAATTGACCAGTTTTATTGAAATGGTTGAAGACTAATGTAAAGTTGATCCGATTCGTAAGTGTGACGTCACCAGTTTAAACCACGCCCACTGCGCACATGCACTGCACATAGGGTTACATGCAGTGATGGCCGTTTGCATGGAACCGGAAGTTAACGCGCAACTTCAGCGATTGTCCAATGAGAGCCTGCAAATCGTGGCGCGTCCGCTTTGTGCCAGATTTGGCAATAAATAAATCACATCAAACCTGAATAAAATTATGTTGTTTAACGTTGATACTGCGAGTGGGAACGATGTGTCACGATGTCAAAGGTTATATAGTAGGCCGTTTTCCAACACCCTACTTTGTCTCCGTTTGAGGCTTCGTCACTGGAAGCCCCGATTGTAGGCCTGAAGTGTTAAAATAAAATCTAAGTAATGTAATGTTTGAATCTTTTGAATCTTATTCGCTATTTTGTGGCACTTTCAAACTTATGAATGCGCTTACAATTCCAAGTCATATTGGAAAAATAGTTGAAACCTCAATAGTCGAGTATTTGAAAACGGCCTTTACGGCTGGCGTCGCGCTGACTGTAATGAGCGGAGAGACGTTATCGCGCTGGGTGGCTGGGCTCGTTTACATACACTTCATGTACATGTATATGTGCATGCATTGTACATGTACGTTGAACTCCATGGTTGAACAACCGTAACGCGGCGGCCCGGGCCGCACTACGGTGGCGCGAATGGTCGTGGGCACGATGCATGCGAACCTTCCGGACTTCACTCTCCATCGGGGCCAGCTTTTAGCGCGCAGCCGGTGATTACGTAAATGCTTCCTTCTTCTTGAATTTTCATATTATACATTTGAATGAGAACACTTCTTAAACATCAACATTTTAAAAAGGCATAAAGCCCAGGATCCTCTCCCCTTCGTATGCTTTGCACGACCGTGAAAATGTTGACAACTTTTGATGGCCCCCAAACTGCGTAAAAACACGCTTTGTGGCATCGCGCGATGGTGTAAATGGGCCCAATAAGGGGGAAACTGCTTGGTACGCCAATTAACGGTTTGGCTAATTGCATCCGGCTCGGCAAGCCTTTAATTTCGACAGGGTATGCCGAGCTATTGATGTTCTGAATGGGGGTGTTTATTACATTCGGCGTTTGGTGCAACTTCCGCGATATAAACTATTTAGCGCAGCGATTGCCAAACTCATTTATTCAAGCTCGGCAAGGCAATAGCATGGTGTAAGCTCGTGCCTGAGTTTTGTAATGTGAGTTTTCTTGGGGGTAGATTGTTTTATATAAACGGGGAGCAAATTAGAAAAGGCCCCATCCCTAGCCTTCCTTTGGAGACGACAAGAGTAAAATTATCACCAGAAAGAATGCAATATCGAATGGGTCTACGTACTCGGCAGAGAAGAGACTGATATTATGCATGGTGCAGAGCTCTAGAGTGGTTTAAAAGTGGGGACTCATTGTGGGCTTCAAATAAGTTTATTGGCTGATGCTAGTGAAGTTCTTTAAGCAGAGGGAATGTATGTGTACGTGTATATTTCTGGAATACGGGCGATTCACAAAGTGCGCCAACAAGAGTCTGCAACGCATTGGCCAATCACAATGCGCGAAATCTGTCGACCCAATGCGCGTTTGGAAAGGGTCGACAAATTTCGCGCGTTGTGATTGGCCAACGCGTTGCAGACTCTTGGGGTGCACAACTGTGAAGCGCCCGTATTAGCCTGGCGAATCTGCGGAGAAAGTGAAGGAGAGATATCGCATCTTTAAAGAAACGCCGTTGAGTAGGGGCAGCCGCGCGCAGTAGGCTAACCTTGATAAGAGTACGTAAGATATGCGACATATGGCAAAGGGACCCCCCCGTTTGTGTTATCTTTGGTATTGTATATACCGCCTTACATATAAAACATCTCAAAGCGGTTTACATAATTACAACAAGCTAAATAAAAATCAAGTACTTATAAAAAAAATTAAAACTACAATTCCACCCACTTTACTATTAAACATTGTATATAAATATTAATATTAATCACATTTGATTACAAACCAGCACATTCCACCTACAAAATTAATAAGAAACCAATAAAAACCAAAAGCTTGCACAGAAAAACACTCCAATCGATGCATCAAGCATTGTAATACTGATCAAATACATAAGTTTTGAGTCAAACGTAAATAGTTGCACGCCTCATGGCGCGCCTATGCAGGGAGTACCAAAAAACCCCACCATGCCCTCTTTTGTTCCGCTTGGAGTAGATACACCGGCAGTTTGTTCAACGTTTTTCCCCTTCGCCACGTTTCGTGCTGCATATACGTGCTGCATTGTGCCATGCTTGACAGTCAAGAATATCTTCCTAGCCGACTACAAGGGTACGTTTTAACAAGCTACTCTGTTGACACGAGTAAACGCACCCGATGTTTGCTGATTGTGCCAGTTTAAAAAGGACGACCAGAGGTGAGTGATTCGATCCACCACGCCCAAGCCGTGATCGGAAACAGCACTCAACGATTGGCATTTCCGTTGAGACTTTAATGACAGAAAGCAATGTGAATTATGCAGAGCGACCATCACTGACCAACAGCCACAATATGGTGTTTGCCTCGTAAAATGAATAATTCAGATGATTATTGGATGAAA